TAATCGCGGGAAATCTCGCGATCATACGATTATCGTAAGGTGTGTGGAAGCCCTGCAACCTCCACTACTGTAAGGTCGCACAACTTTTATCTTACGAACATGTTCAAAAACCCGCCGAGCACCGTACAATGTTCGTAAGATAAAAGCCGGACGGGCCGATGTGCGCAAGCGCACGCTGCCCGTTCAGCATTGCGGTCATCGGAAGCCCGCCCCTCAGGGCGATCATCGCAAGTACGATCTGCCTGTCCAAGATAGGCAGATCTTACGTTTTTTTAATTACCTTACAACCATCGCAAGACAAAATTCTTGCGATGGTTGTAAGGTGTGTGCCTAGCCTTAGTATTACAGACATGGGCAGAACAATTTATGGGTGTAGATTCATCATCCTTGTACTTTTTGTTAAGTATAGGTGAAAACACCACCTATGGCAGTTTATCTCATGACAGTAACAGCTCTGCTATGTTACCCTGACATCAGTAGGTTTAGGGCACTAGAGGTCAGATATTTACTGCTGAATTTAAATGTTTAAATAAGCTATGGTGCACAGAGGATTAAAATAATGTAAAACAGGCCATTTTTTATTTTTTCAGATAAAAGTATTTAAAAACTACAAAAAGGGGTTCTGTCTAGGGAATGCACCGTTATATCAGCCGCCGAAACATATCGGTCATCCTATTCTCTCCTCCCCTCAGGGCGCTGCTCTGTGTCCCAGCTGGGAGGAGAGAAACTGTCACAAGCGGCCGAACGCTGCAGGGGTAGAGCGCTGTAAGCGGCCAGTGTCTTTCCTCCCGCACCGCTCAGCCTCCTGTCACAGATCGGCAGAGCGGTGTGTGGGCGGAGACAGCCAGCGCTGTCACAGGAGGCTGAGCTCTCCTCCCACACCGCCCCCTCAGCCTCTTGTGACAGCTGTCAGGAAGCAGAGCGAGGTACAAACACTCAGTGATCAGTGATCGCTGAGTGTTTGTAAATAATTGAGGACCGAGTATGTTTACTATATCCTCAATTATGAATGAATGGGAAGTGCTCTACATCACCTCCTGTTCATTCATAGTTGTGGATATAGTAAACATACTATGTTCTCATGTTATGAGTGAACAGGAACACTCAGTATAAAGGATTCCTGTTCATTTACTGTATAACAGGTGCTGCAGAAAAAGAGATTGATGACTCTGTGTCCTCAATCTCGTTTTCTATTTTAAAAGGGAAATATCAGGGGTCTGTTTAAACCTTTAATATTTTCCAGAAGCCCCTAAAAGTAAAGTAAAAAATAAAAATATTTAATAAAAATGAATAAATAAATAAAAATTTAATATTAAAAAATTAAAACATTTATAAAAAATGAAATGTTAAAATTTTTTGAAAAAGTTTGAATAAAAAACATTTTCGGTTTCGGTTTTGGCCTGACATTTTTTTCATTTCGGTTT